TAAAGTTATTTGTAGTACTATAAGGAAAAAATCGAAGATCATGTTTAATAATGGTTATTATGGTAATACGAATTAGTATAGCCATGTCTGTCTGTCTGAAATACTGATAATTTCTTATCAACTTACAGCGCTCATCCGCTGAAACAAACTTGATATCAACTGGTTTTAGTAAATATGTTAAGTAATATAATTTTTGAATTTAATTGAAAAAAATACAACCCTGTTTCTGTGACAGATTAATAGCGTTTGTGACATTTGCGAACAAAAAACAAGTGAGCTGAAAAATTGGATTGATAGTTAGGCATAAAAAAGTATTTCTGAAAAATATTTTCAATGGCTAAAAGTTAATATCGTATTTCATATAATTTGTATTATTATTAATATTTTAATAAAATTTATTACATTTGGCTTAAAATATATTTGAAATACACAGTCTCTGTTGTTAAAATTAGTATAAATAAATTTAACTTCTTCCAAAATACAAAAGCCTCAAGATATGAATTCTAATCATACTACTGTGGATATTATTCCTACCGTAGTGTGAAGCTTTTACGACAGGTAACCACCAATGGACTCTTTTCCTATAACATATTGCTAGGAAGCGTTATCAACTGCAAGCATTGCATCGTATTGGAAAATTATTTCTAAGTCCGTTATCTACATAGAAATGTTATCAGTATATATAAATAATTTCAAAGTACTTCAAATCTTTGGATAACATAACATCAATAAACATCAATTAATAATTTCAACTCGATTATATATTTAAGTAATCGTCAAAAAGTGGTTCTATCTATTTCGACTAGGATACCTTTTCTTTAAAATAACTAGTTCATTTAAATAAAACTATTTTCAAATAAATATATATATATATATTAAAATAAATAAAAAATTTAGTAAATTAAAGGTCTTATTGCATAACATACAAACGATAAAAGACTTGAGATCATAGGGTCCTTTCGTCAATAAGTCAATTCCTTTCGAGATACATTAGTATATCATCGTATTCAACATATGAACTTTTATGTAGTAAAATTACAGGCTTCTACATTCAAGCCTCATAAATATTTGTGGTAATATAACTATATATAATATAACATGTACCATTGATTATTCAAAATACATTTAATAGTGCTTATTATTATTATATTATTATTAGTTTATTATTTGTAATTCAATAATTTCAATTTAATATTTGTAACTAACATTAATTAACATAAACTTAATGTAACCTAAGTACTGATGTTATCGTGCTCCAAAAACTAGATATTCACAATGTTTTCTCTTCCCTTGTTTATTACATCCCTGTCTTTAAAATTTGTTAGTTCATTTAACGAAATATATTATGAAAATAACATCAGTGTCATCGCTGTCGAAAAGACCCAACTTTTTAAAGTGTAATTTCAAGTTGTAGTAACCTGTAAAGTAACTAGATAATATTCTTGAAGACTGCACCACTTTATGTATGTTCAATTTTTTAATATATCTTTTGTTAGGATGACAAATTCTCTTACTTAACGTTAGTCTATATTATTTAGCTAGTAGTTTGTAAATTTATTATCTTCTCATTTTCTTAACAAGTTCTTTAAGTTGCTTTCTGTGAGATCGCAAAAGGTTTAGGATCAATAAAGGAAATGTCTGTACTTCTTTAGGGAGGCAGTAAAAAAATGCCCTATAATTAATTTCATTGCTCTATAGTATATCATGTCCTAATTTAGCCAATTCGAATACAACAGTATTACAGTTCCCTAACGTATTGAGAATGTTAAAGCAATCATCTATTATTTTCAAAGTAAGCGTTACAGAATGAAACGCCTTTAATTCTGTTTAACCGGCTGAAATATCTAAATAAGATTATTTTTAGTGTAATTATTAGATACTCCATAAATGTCTGTCTGTCAAATTAATGGATGTAGATCAGTTTTTCAATTATGAATCTTCGGCTAATTGCAGGTGAAAAAAATGTAATATAATATATGTCTAATCAACTAATCTAAAGGTTTTCAAATTTTATATAAAAAAATGATCTATTTTTTTTAAACGAAACATTTAGTAATATAAATTGCCAGATAATATATATATATCGGCAACTTAATTTACATCCAAATTCAAATTTTCACCTGTGCGAATTCCAAAGTTGTTTAAAATACATTAATAAATACAAATATTTGGATCTATCTGAGATATCACTTACTTAGTAACTAGATTATGGTAATGCTAACACTTAATATATTTTTATACATTTTATAAGCCATTAGCCTATGATTTATTTGAGTTCATTATCTTCAATATAATCGAACACCCCCGCAAAGTTGCTCATGTGTATAATATAAGCTCTATTAAAATCTCATTATATACTATTTATATATATCCTTATTTAATATTAAAATCAATAAAAATATTATGCTGAAATAAAAAAAAACATTTGTGAGTGCAAACTATACAAATATAAACATTATGACTCATAGGAAAATTCTACTTACCCAAGTTCATGTGCCGTACTCATTTGTGTGATAAAAAAATCTACCATTTCCTCTTCCTCCAACGTCCAATGTTTGAACAATTAATTCAAAAGGACTCCCATCGAATAAATTATTATTATGCTAATTTGTATAAAAAATTATTTGTGTTATGAAATATAAAAAGATGTTCGTAATTAGTTTGTGTTTAATAGAAATATTTACATAGCTTTGAGTCATAAATTTTTACATATAATTTAAGTGTATGAAAGTTTTAATAACTAAGTTTTAGATTCGTGAAAACTGATAGCATTGGGTATTAAAAACTATATATTTATTTTTTAATCAAAGGAATTATTAGAATCAGATATAATCATTACGAAGTAACATATGTGTTTGCTTTAATATAATAGGTTCGATTATAGACAATGACCATCTTAAAAACGGGGATCTATTTAAAAAGGATTAATTTCTTTTTCGCATTTAGCAGTATCTCAAACAGCTACAAGATCAACCAGTTCTCTATGTCTGTTTCAATTTTCCCACTAAATAAAATCCTGCACCCTGTATATCCTGTATATTTGTAGTTATTGAGCTATAATGAAACAATTATAACTTTGAATATTAATATCAACCAAAAATTGTAGTGCACAAAGGAATCCTATTTTTTATTCCAAAAGGATTTTATTTTTAACACCAAATATTCAATTTACTTAACTTAAATGAATTATTTAAGTTAATTATTTATTTTGAGCGGGCTAATTGGCCAATTTTAAATGAAAATAAAAACTATAATGTATTATTTATATTTAAACAAATTATATTAAATTAAATTTAATTAATATAAAATAGTATAATTACATTCAGGTCTTTGAACGATATAAACCCACTGTTATTTATGGCTCTGAGATATAAAAAGTCTTATGCCATTTTCAATACTAATCGAAATATAGGTTAAGGAAAGAAAGAAGAAATTATAAGTTTACCAAAAAATTGTCGGTTATAAAAACTTCCCTGTCTTATAAAGACAGTTTTAAATCTATTGATTTGAAATCTTAATAGATTTTCTTTTTGTTTTCAAAGGTTTAAAATTTTTTAATATGAAATTTTTTGTCATTTTTTCAGCAAATATTTTTTTCAAAATTTTTGTAGAGCTATTTTTAATTATTTTCCGCATTTAATTATTATTGTTATTTATTTAGAACAATATTTTAACTCTTACGCCCAAATAAAATTAATTGATTTTACGTATTAAAAATTTATAAGCATTAATATCTCAACAGTCTTTGAATAATCTATAGATTCCAATCGATAAAAGGTAGATTAAGTTGAAAAGAAATCTTCACTGTTTACACTTACATTTAATCTCAACATAAAAGCAATTGCCAATTCCAGTACTTTTATTTAATTAATCATCAATTTGTAAAGCTGCAAAAGTATTTTTAAAATATGAAAAACTATTTTAGAAGTCCTGGAATACTGTTTAACATGTGTTCTTAGTACATATAAAATATTGCATAACTGTTACGTAAAAAGTGTTTTAGATATTTCCTAACTTAAATATGCACCTTACATTTTCCTAATATCATTATAAATTTAATAACATCAATTAATGTGGATTAAGTACTATTTTATTTTAGGCAGAATTCTCTATTTTGTTCAAAAGGTTTAATTCTCGTAACCTAAATTTTAGAGCTTACGTGCACTTAGAACACTTAAATCCAGTTTTGATCCGCACCTGCTGAATAAAACTTCATACCTGCTATGGAAGAAAAAACCATAAATTTTATAACACCCTAATTTTTCATGTTTCTTGGTATAAATTAAGCCCATTATTAGAGTTGTTAAGTATAAAGTGCATGGTTCATTTGCATATCAAAATGTATTTTCATTGCAGTCCTCGCACATCCACATTCACTTGGCAGTTCGTCCGTGCTAGCGCATTCGACATGCTAATGCGGCCACCAAATTGCCTATATTGCTCCGTAAACACGCCGGAATAGTTCAAATGCAGTTACCAGCAGCGTGTTGGTTCTCGAAAATCGCTATTGTTGGAATTAGTGTGCAAGGGTAATTTGTGTTATCGCCGACAACAAATCTAAATTGATCGGTGGTCTGCTGAGCGCCATGTTGGCGGAAGCAAACACATAGACTCTGTGGGAGTGGAATTATTTACCAAACACATGTGAATACATAGCAACATAACTCACACAAATTATAGCCCAACTCCCACTCCCACTCCCATTCCTACATCCACACCAACAATTCTTCGCAGGCCCAAACAAACAGAAAAAGAAATTTAATTTAAAAAAATGTAATTGCGTGATTTCATATTTTAGCCAAATAAAAAGTTGCCACAACAAATCGGCTACCATTACATTTTTTACTCCTGCAAGTATAATTTGCATTCTATTCTTAACGTTTTTTCTATAACTCAGATATTCCATAGTATCTACATATGCCATTTGTAAATATTGTTAAACCTTCAATCATTTATTTTTTCTCTGATTACAGCATTTATTCTTCAATATTAAAAACAAAAAAAGTTAAAACCAAAATGACACCTCAACAAAATTCAACATTGATTGATAACAATCTTGACGGCTGCTTGCCACTGCCCGAAGAACTTACGCGCTACAGCCCCATACTGCCACCCAAGGTTGCACAAAATCTGTACCAGGATAAACTCAAAAACCACCCCAAGCATACTTACGCCTCCCGATATGAAAATCTAAATGCAGTTGTGGGACCAACAGGCCATCAACACAAATACAAACATTACCGCAGTGGGAGTAGCCGCGGAGGACAAAGTCGTCGTAGTCGATCTATATCGTTACATGGCGTTAATAGTACAGTGGTAAATACAATTATACTTCCATTTTTTTCTTGAATCGATCACAAAAGCAACATTTAAAACAGTATTCATTTTACTATTAAAAGGAAATGTTAGATGTCAGCCGGTATTAATAATAATATAATACATACGAGTACAATCTTTACCTTAAACTTATAGTACATTCAAACTGTCTGATTACAGCACTTACTCATTTATATTAAAGTGTGAACGTTCACATTATAATGAGCTCATTTATGCAGCTGATAGAACTTATAAACTTTTGTGAACTTTACTTACTAATATATCACACCAACAAATTTGATATGTAAGTGATATATGAAATGATTTCTATACATTTTATATATCAATTACATATTCAATTAATAAAAACAAATAATTTATTAAATACTAACTTCCTCAGTGTATTTGTTCACAGTTCAGCTTTTGTTTCTTTGTAATTTTCATATAAAACATATGACAAATGTTTCAAATTTCGGTGATTTCCCTTGTGAGAAATTTATTTTTAAGGGTTGCATTCGACATTACTCGTCTTAAATAAGCTGATCTATTATTGATAATGAACTCATATTTATGAAAGACCACCTAAATGAAACAGTGTGAATGTGCTATTATTCTTATTATCTAGACAACTTATGTATAGATGTCCAACGCCATAAAAAATAAATCCCCACTCAAATATTTATATTTCACCTTACGATCGCCCATTCAATCTCGATAATTTATCACATATACTACTTATAAATCGAACAATGTATGAATTTATACGTTTATATGTCATCAATCTGTTAGTAGGATAGACTTTAACTGAGAAAAAGCTGTTTTCTGCGCTTGCAATACTTCAAAATATATATTAAAAACTATTTAGGTATCGAAACAGTTGTATGGTCAGCCAAGAATTCAATTAATTAAAATAATATTAAAAGAATTTTAGTTGTTGTAATTAACTACTTTTCGAAACCGATCCATTAAAAACCAACTCATGTAAAATTCCTATATATTTCAAAATTTTGCTTTAGAGCTTGGTGCTATCTGCTATATATATTTGGTATATCAATACAATAGGCTCATAATATGATATAAAAGATATGTTTAATACTTTTATGTATGGTTTGCATAAGCTTTACAGTGTATTGTGACATATATTCCAATTTCCTTCTAACAACTATGATAAGTCGCTCCTTCTCAACAAAACAAAACTAAAAGTTCTGATAGGTCACCTCACCTGTGTTAACACCTCAACAATATAGATATGTCTAATGGCAAGAATATCGGCTCTCTTATTCATATTCATAGTGGCTATCCGGCTTTGACTTCAGTGAGGAACAGATTACTAGACCAGAAACTTCTATAACCATCTGATTTTAGGAATTTCGTACCAGATGGCATTTTGGCGTTTATTCGAATAGCTAATTGTCTTCTATTTAAAAATGATCAATTTCTAGTACAAAAGATTCGCTCCGTTGGAGGCCATTACATTTACAAACTCTATTCTATATATTCTTTTCTTTATATTCTATTCTCGGGAAAGTGTTTGTATTCCTTTATAAAAAAATATTGTAGTAGTTAATAGTGATTAAAAAAGGCAGTGTGGCTACAAACAACAAACATCACAGGTCAAATATTATCTAATAATAATCGCAAAATGAAATAACAACCTTATAACTTCCTTTAATGAATTGTTGTGCCATATCGACCAATAAATAAATAATTACACTAATATGTTCTATGTAAGTCATGTTCTGATATTCTCATTTAATCGAATTCTATGATTCCGCTTATTAAAATCATAATTTACAGAAAGTTAGGTTAATACATATTTTTAAATGTAGTTGTTCTTTAAGTCCTTTTAACTTTACTAGAGCTCCATTCACCTTTTAGTCCACCTTTTTGTGGAAATAGTACGCTCTTTTCTCTCATAAAAATAAAAGAGAACCAGAATAAAAAGGATTACTGAGATAATATACCAGAATTAAAACTTCCATATCCATTATTGGTACCTGTAACAACAAGAGATACTAGGATTGTATGAACCTATCAAAAGAAAAACTTAGAATCATCACAGGAATCCCACAGGGCACTGTAGACTAAAACACAACCTCATAAAACTGGGTATACTTACGTATGCAAACTGTAGATTTTGTGAAGATAATGAGGAGTCGGCCACACATGTGCTGTTAGAATGTCCTGCGCTAATGTATGTGCGAAATAGGCTCCTTGGAATGTATATTCTTACGGTAGATGCAATAAAACTCTGTAAGGTAGGTTCTATACTACTTTTTATTGACGCAACAGGGCTTAAAAACCTACTCTAAGCCCAGAAGAGCCACATCCCCTAAGAATAATAATAATTAGATCTGGCTTTAGACCGAATAATTACTAAAGTTTTAATGTACATAAAAAAATGCAGTCATACATATATGTTATTAGAGTTTCTTCTTCTTAGATCCGTTTCCCCAGGTGGGCATAGAGCCGTACAAATACACACAAACATGATTGCTTAGAACAAGAAAATACAGCTGTTTAGAGTATTGCTAAATATCCATCATCAGGACTGCTGTCCTTCTCCTCTAGTGGAACATAGGGCCGCAACGATTCCTCTAAATTTCATTCAATTGCCTGCTTCTCTCACAATTCAATTCCAGGAATACTGTGCGTCTTTAACCTCCTGGTCAACGATTCTTCACCATGTCTTATCTGGGGCTCCAGGCCCCTTATCTTCTTTTGATTTCAGTGGCAGCTTTTATTTATTTCGTGCGTTCCTATAGATCGGTATTGAATATTCGTTCCGGACAACATATTTTCAGTATTTGCTACGGGTACTTATTTGGGTAGACTTCAACACATTGTTTAACTTCCCGATAATTATTATATATCATTATTCGTAAAAAAAAATTTTTATCGCAACAATAAGAAAATTTGTAATGCAATTTTTTGTATTTAAAAGTCCTGATTTTATTCTGAAAAGTGTGACCATGAAGGCTTTCCGTTTTGGTTTCTATTCCATAATAAATGTCAGACTCTTTGTCAAATACTATTTTAAAATTAATTTTAAATATATTTATATCATATAAATATAAAATATATTTTCATATACATATATTATATTTTTTATTTTTTTATTTTTTTTTTTTGTTTTTTGATATAATTAGGAACAAGGAAACAAAGAAATTCCGATCTGGTTGGATGACGAACCACGCTATGTTTCCGGTGTAACGAATAAAACTACTTGCAATGACATTATCAAAGCCTTGATTGATGATGAAATTCAAAATGGCAATTATACGTACTGCAAGCGCTCGAAAGGTGAGTTAGTCCATCTAGAGTAAAATGAATGGACGTGATTGTAAGTGTCTTAATATATGGACGGTCGCATTATGCGTTTCGAGGAAAAAAGTTTGACGACATTTTTTTTTTGCATACCTTAGTTATTTATTATTATATAAACCTTAAAATATAGTATTGCTTACATGTTAAGTTTGTAGATATTCCGCGGATTTCGTAGCTTTTATTGTGTAAATAAAATGTTTGTTATATACTCACAAGGCCTTTTTTCTATTTTTTTTATGCCTGAAAACTAACTGCGTTTCCGCTTTCGTTACCGTACACCAACTATGGCGCCATTTCCGTTCACCATTGCACGCTACCAATACTCTGCACAACTACAAATAAACATAAACCCTCACACACTCATACGCACTCACACGAACGAAATACTGCACAACTAAGATGGCACAGCATCGCGTGACTACAGCGATTACGTTATAACGGAAAGTTGGCGCGGTATCGAGCGCAGCTACGATGGAAACATGGCGATTTTGCCAGTGTGGAAAGCCTGGAGCCGTGTACACAATGAGGTAATATTATTTACGACCATAAACCTGCAAATTGATTGTTTAAGCCGTGATTGCATAACAAGTAAAATTTTTACATTCTTTTTTTTTTGTACTTTTAATAAAACTAATGGCGCCACACGCAAGTTTCAAAAAAAAAAAAAACAAGGTTTTTTTACAATAAAAAAATATTTTAAATAACGCGTGCGGTGACGAAATCTGCTATATGGACTAACACTAAATCTGCTCTCTGATTTCTTAAGCGTTCAATTCTGCGGCATGGAAGTTTGTTTCGAGCCAGCGTTCACCCCCGCCGCTCTGACCGCCACTGAGTATACCATAAAAGGAACTAATTTTATATGCGCTTCCAATCGATAAGACTCCAGAACTTTCGTGCTAAAAAAAGAAATTCTTTACAAATGAATTTTTATTTTTGACACATTTTGACATATTCTGAAAGGCTTTTTTCACGAATTTTTCGAATTAATTATGTTGATTTAAAGTATTTTTATATCGCCAACGTTGACTCTTCCTTGGCCACCATTCATTTCCTATGCAAATCGTAATTATTTTTTGTTATTTTTCACCTCAATTTGTGCTCCCTAATCGTGTTTTAATTACAGCGACTTCCAATCAATTGGACAGGTTATCTAAAATAGAAATATAGTTCACTTCTATTTACATACCCATATTTTCTAGATTTAAGAGTGATAATAGTAATAATAGTACGCGAGTAGATATTCAGGCACTAGTCATGTTTATGATTTTTTCTGGGTGTAATTAAATAGATTAGATAATGAGAAGAGTATTTGAATATATGCTTTATTCTGAATTGCACTTAAAATAGTAAAAAAACTTAAAATAATAAAAAAAATTTATAATATATTTATTCATTTACGTGGCGAACCCAATCGGGGAATTGAGAAATATAAATACCCACTGGAGACAGAACAGTGTTTAAAATAGTCATGCATTTTAAAGATTTTGCTAAAAACATAAGATTTTCTTTAAGCAATAGGATTATACCCAGGGTTAGAGTACTGGAGAACATAATGTAACGCTTATTTTTATCACCCTTTTTCTGCACTAATACAATATTTTGTGATAAATTGATATACATCCCTCTTCTCCCTTATAGTAATGTTTGTGATAATACGAAATCTTCTCAAAAATCTTCTCAAAAAAATAACATTTCGCTTACACTAAAGTCACAACAGGCAATATAAAGAAAAATTATTAAACTTTGTATATTTTTTTCAAGAAAACTATATTGACAAATAAAAAAATGGAATCTTATAAAGAAATTTTGGATTTTAATCAAGTGAATCAATAACAACAATAAAAAAAGTGAAATAAAACAATAATTTTAGTACAGTAAATTTATACAGCTGTAGTTTATGGGTTAGTTCTAAAAATAGCACCGCAAGCAAAATTGTTGTTTACGAGTAAACAACAAAAATTCCTAAAACACGGCATTTAAATAACGCAAATTAAGTATATGTTGGTTTACAGAGTTAACACGCGAGTTTACAGTTCAAATTTGAGCGGGTTTAATTTCTAATAAAGTCCAAATATTATATGGGCACAAATTATACCAATAGACGATTTCAAATGTCTCTTATGATTAAGGTTTTCAGTCAAATTTTGAAAATATTTGATTAAGAAAGTCCTTTCTTTCTTTGGGTATAACTCACTATATAGTTTAAAATTTGCGTATAGCTAAAATAACCCATTGATTCCATTTTTGCTTTAATGAACTCTTTGCTGCCAAAACTACAATTAGCTAAAGTTAAGTCTGTTCTCATACCAATTTAAATTTAATACCAATTAAAAAGTTGCTTGAATGTCACTATTTTGCCTTCCCGTACTTAAAACGGATTAAAGTAGAATAAATAGTTTGTGAAAACACTTTTAATTGGCTTTGTGAAAGTAAAATGCGTATGTACCCTCTTATATGTTGTAATTTTGAATTATGAACGACTTGGTTGTAAAGTGTTTCGCGAATAACAAATTATTCCACTGGTTTTCAAAGACGAGAAGTTGACAATTGCACCCGTTATTTTAATATCAAATCATTTCCCATTTCTAAATTAATATCTTTACAACATAAGGGAAACGTTTCCCAAAGGAAGAAGGCCAAGATTATTCAAACTATATAAAGCCTCCGTGACGAATTCTTCCTCAAAATTTATTCCAAATTAATCACTCTCTCTAATGACATAACTTTAACATATACTAATAATTTATAAAGTATCTTTCAGAACAATATTTAACTATTTAATATACATAAAAAACTCTAAAAACATACAATTATATTCACCACCAACATATGCAACTAATATCCTACATAGAGTGTAACGTGAGTCGTCAATGTCTACCAACATAAATACATATGTATGACAATAGAAGTCCGTCTAAAAACATAGAATATCGACTCTGCTTAGGAGATTAAATCTCTAGTCATTTTTTTGTAATTATACGGACTTAAGATTAGTATAACTCATTAGTCCTTGAGTTCCATATTTTGTAGTAGAAAATTCTTAAGGAGTGATTTTTTACCTTTATTCAAAGAACTGAGCGCTACGTTTGGTTATGGTCGGTACAATGTACAAAAATAACTACCGTGACGTATCACATCTGCGGGAGCGTATAGTCATTATATTTAAAATACATAGGATTTTTATAATTCTACCTGAAACTAAGCGACAGGTACCATCTTAACAAAAACTCTTTTTATTTTAAATCAACAATAAATATCGTTTTTAAATCATTTTTAATTATGCGTAAAAATATTACAAATATTAATTTTTTTTTAATTTTTCTGAATTATTTTTTGTCGTTTTCAGCTTCGTTTGACTTTAAAACACAGGGAAGATATAAAGGAACCACTAAAACAAATCAAAACAAAAAGCGCCTTTTCCTCTTTAATAAAGTATTTATGGAAAATTCTCAAATTTTCAAAGCAAAATAAAGTGAGTACAAATAACATAAAATCAAGCACAAAAGAAGATATCCCAGATGAGATATTATTCGTTATATTGCCTGATGAAGACTACAATAGTAAGGAATATAATTCAAAACCAACGAATAAGTTGGTGAAGCCCTCTACGGAAGAAGAAGCAAACAAAAATTTCTTAAAAGAAAAACTCTATCGCCTCTCTGAAACCCGCTCTTCCATACGTAAACGTCGTTCAAGCAGAAAGCACAAGGCTAAGCATTTGCTCGAAAGGAAGCGGAACACTTCACAACAGAACAATAACTGCATTCGGAGAAGGAAAGACACAGCAACACGCAACTCAATTAGAAATAAGCTGGCTCAAAAAACATCTGAAATGAACGAACTTTACCAACGAGAGTACGCACTTACCAGGCAGCTCACCAGCAAGTGTAAACTCTATAAATTGCAAAATGAACTTTACACCAACACTGAACGACAACTGGATCTTTCGGTTGGAGAGATACAAAAAAATATTGAGAATTATGCCAAGGATATAATACGTACCGAGCATGAGCTTCTCGCAATAAAAAACGAAATTCAGCAGGATATTTCATTAATTAATAATCTGAAACGCCTGACACTTGACCCAGAGACAACAGCGGAAGTAGAAACTGAAGCAGAAGGCGATGTTAATAAAGGTGACGCACTCACTGATAAGCGAAGTCTTCAAGTTGCTAAAATGGAAGAATGCGAAGAGCAAATGAAATTCGTTGACAACATTTACGAGTTTTGCGATAACAACGCGAGTATGTTAGTCTAGATCTAAAATTTTCCTTCGTTAAGTTTAAAAAGTTAAATATTATATAAATATATGCTAATTTACTATATTAGAAGCAGAAAGAACTGATTTGTAAATAGAACACAATATGTTATGTTTAAGAATTTTATTATTAAAAATTATTTTGAAATCAAACTAACTTGTTTACATTTTGAAGAGGATGTCCTTTTGAAAGATATAAAATTTTTAAAAATCTCTTAAATGTGTATATTATTCTGCCATTATAGAAATACAATCTCTTTTTATCTAATTAATTTATTTAATTAAGTTATACAACTAAAATTACAACGATACCAAGCTAACGGATCATCGAGGCATCATGTCTAATTATTTTTCCGGTATTCTGTTAAACATCAGCTGCACAAAATTTAAATTTATTTAATGGTGTTTCAGAAAATAATAAATAGAGATATATTGACGCAAATAAAAAATTAAATAAAATAAAAATAAACATTGTTAAATTATTTAAATTTTAAGTTCGCTGTTTCCACTTCATCTTGTCATTTACTTGTTTTGATGAAAACAAATCAAGCCAACAAAAATCAGCTGTTGTGGCAATCTAATTTTACAAATTTACCAGGAGGGAATACCGATGTGCGACTAAATACCCCTATCGGTAATAATTATTACAAATATGGCCATTAGAATTGATTTCTTAATATTATTCAGAATTAAGGGCTACATTTCAGTGTTTCTTTGTTTTACTTTTACAAAACTTGTATATAAATATTAAATATTTTTCAGAATCTTAAAATAATATCAAATATATAAAATATGCTAATATACAAAATTAATACATAGATCATAAATGCATTATTTATGTATGAATTAACTAACTATAGAAATATTTCATTCATTTTTATTTATGAAATATATCATAAATAAGTAAAATAACTTTACTTAACATTAGTGAATTAAAATATATGTGACCTAGATTGTTATGTCTATTTCATAAATTATCTACATATCTTAAATAGCTATAAAATACATATCCAAAAATAAATTCATATCATAAAAATTCTGCAGTTGAATTGTCATTCACGTCAAATATGCACGCAGTATCGCTTTCCTGCTCCAAGTTCAGCAGAGTTATGTGCTGAACTTCGGGAAAGTCATCTAATACAATAATGCCGTCTTTATTTTCGCTAAGATCGGGCAACTCATTATGATATCCAAACCAGTAAATAACTATACCAGCACCAAATCTGAAATGTTAAATTTTGTTAAGCAATATGATTGCTAATGCTTTGTTAAGTAAAATATACCGATTACTGTAACTATTCAACTGTTGTCTGATATTCCATTTGTGGGTTTTAACATCTCCAAAACCTGCTTTGCTTTCTATCCAATTCACTTGTTCACCTTTGTAGAGAAATGGTAATATCATTTTAAGATCTGGAGTTTTATCGTAGCCTAAGCGTCTCAAATCGTGTTCAGTGTAATAATGCATGCCTGCATTTCTAGCCAATTCTTTTAACTAAATCATAAAATGAAGTGTATAAATAAATAAAACTATGACTGTTGTTATAGGCTGTGGGAAATTTACCATCACTACCTCGATTTCTTTTGCATATGTACCTTAAATTCATATTCTTCTCCTATTATTCTACGTCTTAGATCTACTAAAGGGCCTTCCTGTATGTCGCTACATATGCACTGCATAACATTCGCGCAAAGAATAGGGTCATCTATTAGGTGCGGGTACTTCAGCAGGCGAGACAAATCACTTTTATTTTCAAATTTGTATTTCTCCTGCAAAATACTTCGACAAAGACTAACTGGTGTCATTCTCTCTGCTACAGCTAATTTTATAAGTATTGTTGGGTCATCATTTTTTTTAGTTTGGTCCTGAAATCTTTAAAATAATAGTTTGATTTTTATTCTAAATTTATTATAAATTATGTTACTTACAATTTGAGGTGCTTCTGTGCTAAGGACTCGTATCGCCAATGTTGTGACCTTAGTAATGAGCTCCACTCCGTTTGTAAAATGCTCTTCAATGTTTTTCGATCGACATAATTAAAGTTATTGTAAAGCTCCAATTCACAATCGATCGTTATTCCGTCATATAAATGTATAAAATCACAGATTTTATCGTATTCAACTGCCTCCAAGATCTTCTTTTTCCCTACTTTTATAGTGTTCGCAGGAATACTGTTCGATAATGCCATGGCCATTTCTTTTTTCTTTCGCTGTTTGTCACAACCTTTTTCAAGTTTTACATTAATTGTATAGTTTTTAAAGGCTTCGTCTTTAGCATTTAACAAATAAACAAACAACTTTAAAAAATTAAGATGCTTTACTCACACATGCAAGCATTTACTAATCAGCTGTTTACAAATGTCAAATTACATTCACAACGGAACAACATGAACATGAAACGAGACAGTGGAACAAGCACGAGTTAGAAATTGATAGAAATTAATTTGAGCCATCAGGGAGTTATTTTTTCGAGGAAAGTTGATATAATATACATGAATACATAACTTAAACAAAAAAAATTAATTTTTAAATAATTTTTCGAAATTATTATTTTATGGCCAATATTATTATTAGATAATTATTTTTATAACAATGTTTTTTTATATATAATATATGTGAATATTCAAATTTTGTTGGTGTAAAAATTATTATAGCATTGACAGTCGAGCGCACTAAATTATCATTAAGCAACCTTATATGATCATTTTAAAAATACCCTGACAGACGGTATAAATTATCATTAAGAAGTTGCTGTATCATATGTTTTTTGTTATTGAAAAAGCAAAAGAATTTTAAATTCAAAATGGATAAACAAGAAAAATTAAAGAAACTTGCTTTAATTAAGGTCGTGTGCGAGTTAGGCTAAGTTGCGTTCTAAATGAGGGAAATTCTAAGTTGTGTCGATAATGTATTGATGTGTCGATACGTGTTGATAAATGGCAAATAGTGTGCAGTGGAAAAAATCCCAAAAAATCTCCCATTTGGTTTAGCATCAACTTAGCCTAACTCGCACACGTCCATAATAGGTTATAAAACTATTTGAACGTCCTATGGACATGTACGAATTAGGCTAAGCTGCGTTCTAAATGAAGGAAATTCTAAGTTGTGCCGATAATGTATTGATGTGTCGATACGTGTTGATAAATGCCTAAATGTGTGCAGTGCAAAAAATCACAAAAAATCTCCCATTTGGTTTAGCATCAATTTAGCCTAACTCTCACACGTCCATAATAGGTTATAAAACTATTTGAACAACTTTATTTTAACAATTTTTCATTATAATAGCCGCAATTTCTTCTTTCAAAATAGCAAAAAAAAATATACACGTTACATGTTTATGAAAGAAAACATTTGAAGCAACAACAGTGCTCTTAAAATTCTCAGAGTTAGGTTTTACTCTAAAAAAATGTAGGACTAAAATTTAATTACGGCCAAATTCAGAAATTAGTAGAAAATATGTTTCAAAATTCAAGTCGTTCGCATGACACCATATTGTACACAACACAAGAAACATACATACATATGTGAAACAGAAGCATTCAACATATTTTAAAAGTGCTGCCAATTTCTTTTAACCAGATTTAATGTTATTTTTTTCTACTCTGAAAGAAAAAATTACAGCTAATATCAGTTTTCTACATCATGATCAACCTCGAATATCAATCAAACTGTTTTATAATTTTGTGGTTAAATGACACCGTGCGACACTAAATTCTCTTTTTCGATTTTTCATTGGTTTTGTTTGATTTTAGACGGCTGAGTTTAAATCTCTAACCAGTTTTTTTCCTTAACATCCCGATATCTAGCAATCTTCGTTTAAATTTGAAAAAATTGCTCTCATTGTGGTACCTCACAAATAGCAGTATACAAGTAACGCCGAAAAAAATAACGACTCCCCCCATTAGGTAAAGAAAAACCAACATGTTCTATTTGGCTAGATTCCTAATATTATAGGATGACAGGTCAATGAGAAAAGGGTCCACGAAGATTTTTGATGTTTTTCTAGCTAAAAAAGAGCACTAACACATGAGATGGAGCACGGTTTCCTCCTCATGTTCAGATCCACAGTCTCAATAAAAGTCATTGTAGGGTAGACCCAGTCTTATAGCATGCCTTCCTATTGCGCAGTTCCCCGTCAGCACAGATACTGTAGTGCTGATCAGATTCCGACTTAGTTAAAGCAACTGACTAGTGCCTTTCTTATCTAAATTAGATCAAGTCAACCAAGATATCTGAAAGCGGGGTTCATCAGCCCAGTATTGTTTGGCTATGCTCAGGTATTTTTGTTGAATTGCTAGTTTAATTGTAGCAAGTGGTACGCCAATTTCTGAGAAGTGAATGTTAGAGAGAAGAGCCCCTGCCTTGGCAAGTTCATTCGACCTGCAATTGCCTAAGATATCCCTATGACCAGGAACCCAAATGAGTTCAGCCTTCACAAGACTAGCTAGGTAATTGAGAGAAGCACGGCAGTTATAATTGATGTGGCTGAAGTGCATGTCAGTGATCTAATGGAAGCTTGACTACCCAAGAAGATTGAAATGGATACATCGGAGATTTGATTGCCAAAGGGAAGGATATGTAATACAAATATTTTTATCTATTTTTTCGTACGTAAATAGTTTACTAAAATTATAAACTTCGTGTCTCTTCAAATAAAAAAAATTTTTTGGCATTTTTAAAAGCCAAATTTTGCACATAAACCTGCTCTTTCCAACGACTTAGTAGCCTAAAATTAACCAAAAACCATTGAAGAATTAAAAAAAGGGACTATATTTTTCAACAGACACAATCTTCATACTTTTACTAACAGTAGAACCTGTACTCCAAAGTATGAGCACACAGACCCAATCTTCATCCTCTTACTAACAGTAGAACCTGTACTCCAAAGTATGAGCATTCGATATAATAAGTAAAATATTTTTAACCATATCGGTTGCTTATTTATTAAATAAAAACAAAATATTTCTTGATTCTATTATTTTTCTTAGAAAAAAAAACGTATGCTTTCGAAGTTTCTGCATTTATTAAAAATTACTTTTTACATACATTTTCAAGATTTCATTGAATAATAGTAAAATATAATAAATTGTTGATATACCCCGTAATATATGTATATACTCGTATATTTATATAAAAAAATTGTAAATGACAAACGTTATAAAGTACGCGAATGCAAAGCTGTTACATACGCAAATTAAACGTATTTTGCTTGAATCATAAATAAATTTATTTTATCATATTTTGTTTTGTTACTTAAATATTATTGTTTTAATTAATGCATTTCTTTTTCAATTAATACAAATTAAAATTACTTGAATGCATTTTATCTATTAGACTAAAATATTGAAAAATTAATAAATCCAATTTGCTTTTGAACTTTTCATTTTAGTTAAATTTATATTTTTCAGCTTTTTTTGACGTCGTTAATAAAATTTAACAGTTGACTTGAATGGTGTAATGAAAAATAAAGAAAATTCAGCATTGTAGAACAAGAACGCTAGGATGTCGAGAATCTTACAAAACAAGTTCTAAAAAATAGATACCAATAATTAGAATGGGTTGGTCTTAGACATCCTTGAGCTCTGGTGGCATATCATTTTTGGGATGTTTGTTTTCAAAATGCTGCTTGTACGTTTTTGGATCGGGCATCTGGGACTGTGAAAAATTAAGAGAAATTATTTATTTAGTTTATTTGAAAGAATTTTTTTTGGGTAGAAATTCAAATTTACTTACCTTGCAAACTGCACAAACATGAACAAGCGCCTTTTGTGCTGCCTTCTTTTGCTCGTTCGCATTGTGTCCTTGCTGCTTCTTCATTTTCTGTTGCTTTTCCTGCGCTTTTGCCTGCGATTGTATCTTCTGATGACCTCGTGCCATTTTGCTTTGTCAAATAACTAAAGGAATATAAAGTTAAATAATATGGATCAAAAATCAATAAACAATTTGTTGATGTAAAATATGAATGCAGCTTATTGAATCGTTTTAATATCTAAAATATAGCTATATCTAAACCTTAGAGTAGAGAGTAAAAGTGCTCAAGTGCACTGACTCAACTAACCTCAACATAATTATATCTAAACTGTATATATATTTAAGATATAAACAATATATGAGTTAATCGTCAATAGTTTTATTACTATTTCCATACACCTTTTTAGAAGTTTAATAATTTTACAAAAGATTTCATGCTCGATCTATAGCGTGCTATTAGTCGAACTTCGTTGAACAATTTTCCAGTTTTAAGTTCCAAGTCAGGGCTGAATGATTTAGTTTTGATTGCATTTGGTGATATATGTGTGAGAACAACACGATGCCATCTGAGTTCTCAAGGTTTTCTTAATATACCTTTAGACGAGAACCACATTAAATAATTATGGTGAAAGTATAAATCTTTGTCTAACACTTGTTTTATTAAAAAAAGATAATGCTAGAAGACACTCGCGGTAACTTTAGAGATAAATAAAAGGAATTGAACAGCTGGTATTGATTTATAATAGTTTCTTATTCTATTCTAAAGCTATTATAATAGATTTTCTAATACAATTAGGAAAATAGAGAATAAAAAATATAGTTCGTAAAACGGTGCTTAATTTATATTTGGCTAGTCTTGAACTTATTTTTTTTTTTAGAGTGATATATAACCAGTTTATTATAATCAGAAGATCCTGAACATATTCTTCGCAAATCTTAGCATGTGACCTGTCATTATCAACAGAAAAAATAACAAAAACTAAAAACAAACCTTGACTTTCAGAATATTATCAGATACATATTTTTTTCATAGCACTCAATGTCTATTTCAAAACCTCTACTTAAGAATAAAATCACAGGTAGCAACCCATTTTTATGAGATTAAAAGAAATGTATAGTATGTCTCTATATATGCAATACAATACAATATATATACAAAATATGTGCAATACAATACAATATATACACGATATATGTATATATACACAATATATATACAATATATATAAAATATATATACAATATATACAAAATATATATACAATATATACAAAATATATATACAATATATATACGATGTAAATACAATATATATACAATACATAAACAATATATATAAAATATATACAATATATATACAATATATATAAAATATATATACAATATATATACAATATAAATACAATATATATACAATATATATACAATATATATACAATATATATACAATATATATACAATATATATACAATATATATACAATTGATATCTTTAAAAAAATTAATAAAAACCATTTTAAAATAGAATTTGGTAAATTTACTAATTATCGAATCACTTGATTTAGAGCATGGTCTTAATTGATTTACGGAATAATTTTAACACCCAGTTAACAATATTAAGCACATGGATACAAATAACAACAAAGAAAAAAAAACAATATGTAAATTACTTAATACCATAATAGTCTAAGTCTAAGGCACTAAATTAATTAAATAACAAACAGATTATATATTAATTAATTTTAACTTAAATTGGTTTTTAATTTTGACGTGTTAAGATTTTGCCACAAAACTGTTTTAATATAATTTCTGAAGAAAATAAATCATTATTATAATATCAGAAATTATATTTGATTAGAGAAATGCACTATTTTGTTGATGAGGTTAACATGACTAAAAACTAAAAACTATTTTCTTCACGCTCAATAAAATTTTTAATAAGAACCGCAATAATGAAATTAATTCTAATTCCAACTTTAACCAACCAAACCATGAAAAGTTCGCTCCACTACTTAACCTAGAACTTGGCAACCAAAGTGGACCTGAGAAAATGAAATTGCATTCCGTATCTTATAATTTATTTAACTTTCGTGCTTTCACTTTTTTGTGCAACTGTTTTTCTAAAAAAATTTAAATTAATTATGAAAATCTGTTTGCTGTGATGTTGCCGTTACACTCACATAAAAACCTGTTGTCGATTACAGCACAGCACAGCACTGTTTTACGTACGTTTTCAATAAAATGGAGTCAGCAATCAACAAATTTCTTATTAAACAATATTTTTTTTTAATTTTCTTAATCATTTGCAAATCATCATTTATGCCTGTATAGCATTTTTTCCAACTGCTTTGCTTATCACAATTTCATTTGGGAAAAACCACGTTCCGCCTTTCAACGTGAAGATGAAAAACCAGGAGTCGAAAAACGCTAAATGAACTTAAGCCAATAATACTTCCACATTTCAACCATTTCATATTAATCTTATCAAAAAATCTTCAATATTATTTTCTTATACAAATAAATTATCTTAATTTTGCATTTATTTAAATATATTCGTAACTTACCTTTTTATCACAAACTTGAAAATAAAATTGGTAATATTTGCTGTTAACTCTCAATTTCTTAATGTATCCGATATTATAACTATATCTTCGTGGATTTGTAACTTGAATAATTTTTTGTTTTATTTAAAGTTTGTTTAGGAATTAAATTTTGTCGAAATGCTGTCTTGCTATGATACGAAATACATCATTTCCTCTGCTGCCACTTTGTTGTTTGCTCGAAAGAACATCAGTGTTTCCATTCCATCCTTTTACTAAAAATGTCACATATTTCACACATATGTCAAAGCGAAACAAATATATACTTCTGAACAAATTTAAAGCAAAGCATGCTGCCACACTTATTTAAATTGCAATTTACTATATTTCACTAAATATTAATATAATAGGTTTGCTCCACGAGCTACTCATAGTAACTTTGAGTAGCACTGTGTATACACAAGTGTGTTCCATCAGCAAATTTCAGTAAATGAGAGCATCTGAAAAAGCGTAATATCCCTGTCGAAATCGAAAAATGCTACACTGACTTTACTCGTACAATTTATTTCAAGTAAAATTTGTGTGATGTATGAATCAGCTGTTTTGGTTTGAATTTAAATTTTTGTATTGTTTATTTGCGCAGCACTGCTGTCCTCACTAGATTTTACACAAAGCTGTTCCATGAAAATCAGTGTAAAGAGCGTAATTTGGCAATTTATTTGTGTTACGCTCTCAATTTGTACATTACTTGACTTTTACAATAGTAGTTCGTCAAACCGACATAATATAGGGGCTATTTCCGTGAATTCTTGTAGTAAAGGCAAGTAAAAAGTTGCTTAAATTTTACTTTCTCTGTTTCTGTGCCTAAGAACTAATAATAAGCGAGGGTTTGTGAAAGTGAATTATCATTGCGTACTCTACATAACTTCAATTTTACTTCAACAAATTTGTCAAGTAATAATCAAGTTAGCCGTGAAAACACTAGCTGGTCATCTTATGAATATGAAAGTAAAAGAACATTCCTAACGAAATGTATACATAAAATTATGTGCTAGTATATTTGTCCAAATAATTTCTAACTCAAACCAAAAGTATTAAAATAATATTTCATCCCAATTGTAAACATTACTATGTAAACATAGTAATTAAGGAACTATGTAATATATAAAAATTGCCATTTGCTGCATATTAAAAAAATGGTCGGTAGGAATACTAATATGATTTACTACTATAAGTATTTTAAAATAGTATGGAAAGACAACCAGAAAACTTATTTTCATTATTAATTGAATTTTCGCCATTCAGCTATTTTGGGTATTGCCAAATATACATGATCAGCGATGTTTGGAAATATTATTGTATATAATTGTTGCTTTAAAACTGTTAATATTAGAGCTTTGAACCTGTTAAATTGAAAATAATGACTTCACTTTTTTTAAGCGAACGCACTTAAAGCCATACCTAACTATAGTTGTTTAAATTTCACTTTATTTTTGTTGTTTTTAATTTTACTAATTAATCAATTAAATACCATAATTAATTTGACAATTTTCAATTAATTAAAAAAAATCTGTTTTTGTAATTCACTGCTATTCAAAAATCTTTATATTAATGAAATAGTTTTTTTGTTGTTATAAATCGCTTGAAAATTTAATTGGATTTATTATAGTTTTACTTGTTCGTATACCTTGTGCGTGAGTTTCGTTAGGTGTATGTGGCACATTTATACTGGATGTAGCGTACAAAAACGGTAGATAATGAATGTCGCATCGACTTTACTATTATTAAGGTTTTCTGGACGTACTGAGAAGTTTATTTAATATTAACAATTCTTTTTACGGCATTGGACACGTCAGAAAATTCTTGAAAAGCAGAAATAAATATTCAAATAACTTAAATTTAAATTAATGTTTACACAGCTGTCAAAGTTAAATTTAACATTTACGCATATAGGTTGAAAATAAATATTATTTCACAACGTTAAATTCCATTCACTGCTAAGATTGCGAAAGATTAAAGACGCAAACAAAACAAATATGAAGTTGCGGATAATTTTTCTATTGTGTATAACAATAGTTCTGACTAATGCGTTGCCAGTGACGAAAACCAAAAAAGATGAATCCACCACAGCCGCAACTCCAGACGTGGAAACTGCTCTGGAGTATGAACGCTACTTGAAAGAAGTTGTAGAAGCACTAGAAAGTGATACCGAATTTAGGAAGAAACTTGACAAAGCGCCCGAAGCTGATATTCGGGTAGGTGTACAGTTATTAAATATATTAGTGTTTTTTTAATTATTTTTTTTAAACATAGAATGGAAAAATTGCTCAAGAATTGGATTATGTTAACCATCATATCCGTACAAAACTGGATGAAATAAAGCGTCGGGAAATTGAACGCCTTCGAAGTCTTGCTAACAAGGAATATGAATTAAGTAATGATATTGATCGAGACCATTTAAAAGTACCACAGCATTTAGATCATGCCAATGAGCATACATTTGAGATTGAAGATTTGCGTAAATTAATAAAGAAAACTGCTGAGGATTTATCTGAAAATGATCGAAAACGTCGAGAAGAGTTCAAACAATATGAAATGCAGAAAGAGTTCGAACGCGAGGCACAAATGAAGGAAATGGATGACGATCACCGTAAAAAATTCGAGCAGGAATTTAAGGATCAACAGGAGAAGCACAAAAAACATGAAAAAGTGCATCATCCTGGTAATAAAGCTCAGTTAGAGGAAGTGTGGGAGAAACAGGACCATATGGAAAAAGAAGATTTTGACCCACACACATTCTTTGCATTACACGGTATATACATTTAAATGCTAAGAGATATATAACATATATTTGTTTTATTGAAAAAATATTTTTTTAGATATTGATGGCAACGGTTTTTGGGATGAAAACGAAGTTAAAGCCCTTTTCGTTAAAGAATTAGACAAAGTTTACCAGTCGGGACTACCTGAAGATGATATGCGTGAACGGGCTGAGGAAATGGAACGCATGCGAGAGCATGTATTCCAAGAAACTGACACTAATCACGATGGTTTAATTAGTTTTCAGGAATTTTTGGAACAAACAAAGCGAGAAGAATTTAAAAAGGATCCTGAATGGGAAACTGTTGATGAACAACCACAGTACACACATCAAGAGTACTTAGAGTTCGAGCGTCGTCGACAAGAAGAAATTCAACGTTTGGTAGCACAAGGAGTGGTACGTTTAATTATAATTTTTGAGTCTCATCGATTGTATTCATTAATTTTTTTTTTAAATTAGCTACCACCCCATCCAAATATGCCACAGGGTTATTATCCCGATGGAGCTGTTCATCATGGTACAGGTTATCAACAACAACAACCTCCACAAATGCACTATCAAGATCCGCATTATCAGCAACAACAACAGCAACAACATTATCAACAACAACAGCAACAATATCAAGGACAACAAGTACATCTCAATTCAAACCAAGTTTACCAGACGATACCTCAAGCAAATGGTCAGCAAAATCATAATCCACAAATTCAGCAACAACAAAATTATCAACCAGTTCAACAACAACAACAAGCTCAACAGCCACAACAACAACATCAACCACAACAACATCAACCACAACAACAACAGCAGCAACCACAACCACAACAACATCAACCACAACAACAACAACAGCAACCACAACAACAGCAGCAACCACAACAACAACAACAGCAACCACAACAACAACAGCAGCAACCACAACAGCAATATGCAGTAAATCAAAATAAAGTACCTCCCGCATCACAACAGCAACAACAAATTCCTATACAGCAGCAGCAACAACAACAACAAAATGCTCAACCACAACATATAAAACCATAAAAACTTTTTAATATTATTAAAATGAGAACCATTTGACGAAATATTCATCGAAATTAAAATTTGCATATTGAAATTCGACTGAGAACACATCAACGCGATAAACAAAATCAACATCGATAATTAAAGTAGACCGTGTATGGTCATTTTCAATTTAAAATTGAAGATAGAACGCAACATTCTAGATTAAATTCGACTATTATTTAATGCATTTAATTATTCAATAATTTATAAACTTATATTCCATTTATTTGAATCGCGCTTTACACTGAATATGTGATTATATTTTAAGTAGTTTTTTTGTAAATTTGTTTAAGCAAAAAAAGCAAATAAATTAAATGCAATAAATAAATAATTTATTTATTATACAAGTTAAGGGCTCAAGAAATCGACGGAGAATGAGTCATTGTCATTAAAATAGATGTTATTCATCAAAGTTTGTGGAACATTGAAGTTTATCAATGTATTTTAATACAACTGATGTGTTATTTTTAATTGAACGCAGATACACAAATAGTTACTATTTAGCACGACGTTAGACTATAATTGGTCTGAAACAGTTAGCGTTGGCAACAACCATCGTCTTCTTAATATATATTTAATATACAGTAATATCCTCTATAACGCGGTAGATTGGTTCCGCGTTATAGAGCTATTCCCGTATACTCCGTATACAAAGATATGCGGAGTTAATTATGAACTGTACAAATCCCCGCGATATATGAGAGAATGTCCATGTTATAGGGAGGATTGAAATCGCGTTATATGAAAACGCGTTATATGAAAACGCGTTATAAGAGTACCGTATTATAGGGGGGATTACTGTATAATATATATAACTAATATAAAAATTTATTTGTTTAGGGACACATCACCTTGAAGCTGTGTATTTGTTGAGCCGATCTTTCTAAATAACTAACGTAATTCATAATAAAACTCCAAAAACATTGAAGAATCAAAGCAAAAATACATAATCAAATGATAAATAATATATAATCAGAGCAGGCGATGGATCTCATCGCCTGCTAAGGCCCGGATGAAGTTGTAAGTGGCATTTGGTTTGGTTGTTTGTGTCCACAAGTGACTTCCAAGTGTGGACTCAACCGATCATGAAATAGGTCTGTTAGGTCTATATTTCGCGAAAGTATACAACTATATAACTATGACAAGTCAGATTTTCACTCACACTACTCATATTATGTGATGATAAAAGTGGTGAATCATCGAAATATAATTATTAAATGGTTTATATGGATCTCTCCAACATTATCAAAGGGCATTATGTACAAACATGTATACATGATGTGTTTGCGAAGTTGGTTATTATATATATCTTAAAAAGCGCGAATGCGAGAGCAAGTTTTAAGTAGACGAAATCATCCAAGGGCAAAAGTTAACACTTCTTTGACTTCACAGTTCGAAATACTTTTATAACTACGTGGTATAGTAATTATTTATAAGGTTTTGCTTGCGTTTACTATATTAGTAATTGCTGATTTCAACATTTCTTAGTGTTCACTGCTTAGTCAATATAATATTACTGACTACAACATTAAAAACTTTTTCTTAGGTACGCATAAACATTTTGCAAATTCCCGTATCATCAAAAATATTTTTTAATGCCTTTTTTTAAATATTTTGAACAGCATATACAACAGAATTATGTTGCGAGAAATAATGTTACTGTAATGTATAAACGACGGGGATTTATGATAGTTAAAGATCCGGTCAATTCAGTAATCATATATCATGGTTTTGTTGTTGCACTTCGTTTCATTCTATAGTTCGTTATAACTTCAAAAGATTTCAACGGGAGTTGTAACCGAAAGCTAACTCTCTCTGCGGATTGCAGGGAGAATTAACGATACGACTGCCATCATATGTTTCATTTAGACCACATTTAAGCGGAATCGAAATTACTTCTTGTAGAAGAACACAATCAACTGCAGTCTAAGCAATACCTCTTTGCATGCCACATTCCCACTCCACGAGATGCATTCGTCGATCCCTTGCTTCCTACTATAACCATATTAATTCCTATTGCAATGGAGCTAATATTAGTGATGTCGAATACGAACGTAGACTTATAGCACCCCACACAGATGCAGTATCTTCTTCATGACATAGGTTGACTTCCAACAAGGTTCTCAATAGACCTCTGCGTCTTATTTCACAGAAAGAATGACGTCTCTCCTTCATAACAAGAACAGTTCTAGCTCAATTGAGATCAGGGTATGGTCATGTGCTAAACAGTTACTTGTCACGCATAAACACGTCTTTTCCTGTGTGCCCAAACTGCAGCTCTACTCCCCACGACGTCGCCCATCTGTTCTCTTGTCCTTCTACGCACACAAATCTTAGTCCAATTGAGCTTTGGACTTACCCCTTGAAGTGGCTAGGTTTCTAGGTTGATTTCAATTGTATCCTACCATTCCCCTTTTTTCCCCACACACACGTTTACCCCAAACACTACCCATTCACATTGTAACCCATGTATGCGTCTTGTAATCCTTATCTGCTTATCAGATCCCGGCGAGCTACAACAATAGCAACCATCAGTTAATCATCGTTGGTAAATGGCTCTTAAGTTTAATAACAGTCAGTCCAAATATCATAGATGTCGAGAGAGAAAACAAATGTCTTGAAGCTTTCAGGAAATTACAGATCCACGCCCGATTTTGTGATGTGAAGAAAATAAATTTTGAGTTTTGTAAATTTATATTTTTATTCTGGATATTATAATGAAAATATGTATCGATAGAATAATATAAAATATAAGTTTATTGTATAAATTTAACAAGGAAATGTAACAAGCAATTTTTGGGGAAAAAACATAATTGACAAAACGGATTTACAATTTTTCTGCGAATATGTAATGATTAACTAAATATAAGCATTTTGCGTATAAACCTAAATATATTTTTAACGCCTTACGTTAAGGAACTTTCAAAGTAGACATACTTTGACGGCTCCTTGATTATCAATTAGATTGGAATACTCTCGTAGATACAAATAAGGCAAAGCATGATAATTCTTTCATTGACGTTTATATAAATTTAATACTTATCGAACTATATATATAAAAATATGTAAAATATAAAGATTACAAACTAAATTTGAGATATGCCTATGATGTGTTCAAAATAGATTGCAAGGCTGTGAAGCATTCGAATTAAATGTTGTGTGCATTATATTTAATATTTTTTTTTTTTTTTTTGAGATTAGAAACATATTCATTTCAGATGCGATTTCACACATGATGGCTTTATCGTATTGACGTAACTCTAGGGTTATGCGGTCACTGATATATTTTTGCATTGAAACGAATTTTATACAAATAGTATCTTGGTTGTTAACTAATCTCAAAGTTATTTTTCTTTTACTTATTTATAAATAGAATTTAGAAAATAAAATTGGCACTTAACTGCTCAACAGGAATTATTTTACAATAAACAAAAGTATAAGTTACTAAAAGAATAATAATACAACGAAATTGCTTAGGAGTTCATTTCACAATGTAAATACTTGATAGACGGTTGCTTTACAAATAAAATAGAAAACATTTTATGCATTAGAGAATATAAGATTTATATATGTGTATATATATTTTCTCTGATATATATATATTTCTATGTTTTCACCATTTTTAACTGAGCATCATTTATTGTATTTGTATATAGTAACCATTTCACTTTTTATAGATATTTTTGTATTTATTTCGAAAAAAATATAAGTTGTTAACAATAAATTAGTAATATACTTTAATAGTGTTATAGTTTGTTCTAATAGTACAGATAAATTTCTACTACGGAAATAAGGCATATTTTATGTTAATTTTAAATGCACGACCATAAAAATATTCGCATTAATCTTATTTTATTTTAAATTCGTTTTTGCTATATACTTTGAAGCGATTTTAAACAAATAGTTAAATTTCAATATTAGAAAATAAATTGTAACTGGTATAGTAGCTCGTCAACTTTATGTATTGAAGCAACAGAATAATATTTATTTAATATAATTTTTATATTATTTTCAGAAGAGAGCATAAAAAAAATCGAGCATATATTAATATTAAATAAAGAACAACACAAAATCATTATATATGTATATATCTCTATGTACACATATATTTTACCGCTTAACAATACTTGAGGGTCTTGGAAGCCCACTACGTTTAATGCTCGTTGGTGGTCTCAGACGTGACGGTTTTGGGATGCCGGTTGCGTCTGTCGTTATTTTTGTGAGTATTGGAGGCAATTTTACGTCTTCGTTCTGTAGATCTCCATTAATTGGTTTGGTATTTGGTTCACTGCTTTGTGCACTACACCGTGATGAAGCGGAAGACATACTCTACAAGTAAACAAAATTGAAAACAAATATTATTTTATATATTCGTCTTAAGAGTATAGATTATATGCTTTAAAGTTTAGAAATATTCATTTAAGGTACATTAGGTACATTAGTATTTTGGTACATTAAAATCAGTTTTGTACTTTAATATAAGTGTAATTATAGAGTAGAATTAACAATATTTAATATTTTTATTAAGCAGGACATGAGTCGATCATTTAAAGACACTTTCAAATCATGTGTAAATAAATTTTCTGACTAAAATAAGTTGTTGTTCGAAATCATCACAAAGAATTAACTGTTAAAGATGACTGTTAAAAGGTTTATATAAAAATCATAATAAATAAAACATTAAAACGTAAAAAATGTATAAAAATCATATTTTAAACATAATAAATTAAATAAACTATAACAAATAAAACAAAATAAATAAAACACAAGTAAATTATTGTAAGTAAGAAATAATAAAAGAAACATAATTACAATATAATAAATAAAAAATAATTTAAATGTTTATATTATAAATTAGAAGTTATCATTATAAATATGATTATAAACCTATATAAAAATGAAAATGAATGAATAATACATATCAAATATATTAGCAAAATTATTTAATTCGGAAACCTTATATAAATATAATTTATTTATGTAGTATTTTTTTACATCCCTTTTTCTATATAAATAATAAGTAAAAATAATGTTATTATTAATAATAATATAATATTAACATTCCTTATTAAATTATGTGCTCTATTAAATTAATAACGTTTATACATTTTTAAATGTATTGAATATAATAATTCGTGATAGTTTGTTATTGTCTCGAAACGAGATCTAAGCCATGTAATCTCTTTAAGTTTTCGAACATTCTCAATTTAATCAAACAGAGTCATAGTTGGTGAGTTTTGCTTAATCATTAGAGATATATATACATTAATTTAATTTAAAATTTTACATGAAGACCACTTAGATCTTTATAGATACATTTGTGGGAGAAAACAATCTCGTCATTTTAGGTTGATTTCTATAACATGCAAGGCATAAACACAATGAAAGGGCTTTTTGCCACACCAAACAATTGAGCTATTCTGTATTCTGGATAGAGGGTTAATCGAAGTATTTTAGATTAACATTGTTGCGGTATTTCTACATTAAAATTATTAGCTATGCTACAACTAAATACCACACACTCAGATAATACAAATAATAGCGTAGTATATTTTATAATTTCTTAATAATTACATTCGGAAATTCTATTATTTACTTGAATACATTTTGCATAATATAGTTAGTTATATAGTAATATTTAAAGAGATATGAGTAAGTTTGAGAATTCATTTTATTCGTTGTCGTTTGTATAAAAAACTGCTGTTAAGCTATTGGGGTTGTTGTAGGTTCTTAGTAATAACTATTTTATATAAAAAAAACTTAATATTAAACCAAACATCTACGCTATACTAAAATCATTTTATTTAAACACAAAAAAGTTCTTACATCTGTAGGCGAATGTCTCCCCGTATCAATATCTAGGTCTGTTGGTTGTGCCAAGGGTTTTGTAGTAACATTTAGACTATAATAACCAGACGAAGGTCGCACCATAGTAGAACGTTTTGCTCCAGCAGCACCTGGAACTCGTATTCCGGATACGAGTTTTGGAACTTTGAATACTGATTCATCATTTTTCTATAAAAAAAAGCAAATATAAATGCTAAAAACTCAACACATATTAAAAGTTTTCATTACCTGTGATTTTAGAGACGCAGCTTGAGCTGTTAGTTTATTTGCAGAAGCTGTTGAATTCCTACCATTCGATTTTACCTAACGGGATACATATATAAATAAATAAAAATATAACTGGTCATTTCAAAAAAACTTACTTGATTTTCGGTCAAGACATTTTTCTTCAATCCAAAAGTCGTTTTTGAAGTTTGTGCTCCATTTTCCGCATTTGTATATCCGAAATTGTTAGATAAGTTATGAAATGATTTCGATTTAATGCCCATAGGACTTTTGATGTTAGAAGAAGTTTTGACTTGTTGATTCACTCCAACACCGATTATTAAAGCACTTTTTCTAGAATTATAAGCTAAAGATTTCTGTGGAGCAGTTGTTGCTGAAGCACCGGTTGTATTATCCAAATTGCCAGCAGAAGTAGCTTTACTAACCACACTAAACTTTTGTAAACCGCTAATATAACGTGGACGTGACAGTGATCTTGGTTCCAAACGTGACTTCGCAGGTTTAAGAACATCAGCAGAAGCACTTTGATCTTCATTTGTAGGGCATACTTCCGGCAGTTCAGTAGTTGTTGTAGATTTTTCTTTTGGTTTTTTATATGTTAGGAATTTGGGATTAATTTTTGACGAATTAGTTTTGGATGCTTCTTCAGTTTCTATTTTGTTGTTATTATTAGAATGGGTATTGTCACGTCGGGAAAATCTCTGTGAGATTTCTTGGGTTTCTGCTGTTAATTCCATTTCCAAATCTTCTTTTGTTTCGATATCATCGTCGATACAAGGCACATTCAATTCAGTTTCAGGAGCATAATTTTCACTATTTACATTATGCGATTTCACAATTTTTATTGTTTTAAAACGATCTCGATCACGGCTCCGTTTTTCGCTTAACTTATATGTAGCAGTATTCAAGTCTTGAGCATTATGGTATTTTTCGGGTTCAGCAATTAAATTCTCCTCAGTCTTTTCATGTATCATCTTTTCCATATTCGTTCTTGATTCAGTCTCTATTACATTATGATTCTCCGCGTCAATGTCCGGCTCCGGCTTGTGGACTGCAAAAGACGTGCTTTGCGTTTTCGAACTGTTTAATACAGAGAAGTTGAAATCATCATAAAGTCGGCTTCGACGACTTAACAAGCGTTCACCCGCGTTACTTGAGGCACTTGCCGTTGAAGATGTCAGTCCACTTCCAGATGAGTCACGTAATTCCTTTGACACAAACATTGAGTTCCTTATATATTTTGTACTATTAGTTGGAGAGTTTGACTCATTGATTACATGTGTTGTGTCCTTATATTCTCTGTATTTTTCCGGACTTTCAATATCCGTTTCGAATGTTTTATTCGTATTTATAACATATCCAGGGGGTACTGATTTATCCATATCTTCATAAATAATTTCTTTTTCACATTTATTATCTGGTGCAGTTACACAGCTAAAACGTTTCTTAATACTTTCCAACGACTTCTTCATTTTAAGTTGTTGCATATTCATTTCTATTTTGCTAAATTCGTCAAGTTTATGTTCGAATTCTTCATCATTTCCAGCTAACAATTCAGCCTCAGCCTTTGCCAAATCCATTACGTTTTTCATTTCTTTCCCAGCCGCACTTTTAAAATCTGTTTCAAAACTTTTTTGAAATGTTATATTCGGATTTTGTATATTTTCTATCATCTCCATACTATCTAGTTTTGGCAATACATCATTAAACGTATTTGAGTTGATTTTACTGACTAAAGGTTCTCTTTCGAAAGTTTCGTTCATAGCGCGGATTGCGGTACGTTGATCAAGAGTTGCAATAATCGGTGATATATTTACATCTTCTGTCATTTCTTGGAGAGTTGGAGTGTATTGGTGCCGATTGTAACGAATGTTAGTAGTGCGGGGAGTAGATTCGTAAATTTTCATAGTACCTACACTCTTTCTGACACTTTCCGGTGTTTCACAGAGTGGGTCGGAGTTAGATTGCTGACACTCAAATGTTGTGTTAGAATTTCCGATGACACACACTGTTTCATTCAAAGTCGTTGGTTTTTTGAATGTTTCATTTATTTGCTGCTTTACATTGTTTAAATTGTGAGTAACGTTGGGATCACTGTTTTGTCCAGCTATTTGTTCACCATGCAAACTGTTCTCTATTAAATTAAATGTAGTATCACTGATAAGGTCATTGTTCAGTAACATAGTCCGATGTATTATATTTTCATTGCTATTATTATCTGAATTCGCTTTTCCACCATTAAATGTGTCATCCTTGTTGAAAATTTGCACTGTTCGATTATTGCAATCCATACTTTCAGTTGAATTGTCCATGGTGCTGCTGCCAGACGCAGTTTTACTGAACGTTAGCGATATGTCATCGATTTGAGCAATGTGTGAGTCTTTTATTAAAGTGCCATCGCTGGACATTGTGAGTGATTCAAGCGCTTTGCGATCCCTTATCATATCACTTAGGGTATAACCGTCACTTGTTGCTTTGTTTGAGAAATTAAAAGCGAAACGATTTACATCTTCTAAATCTAAACTTTGAGTGGATTGTAGGAAACTTAAATTGGAAAAGTCAGCCGATGTGATTAGTGAATTATTCATACGATCTACCGATACATCCATTGAGGAACAAATTGATGATGGAGGCGAGGTATCTTGCAAAAACGACTTATGCATTGTCGTTACCAATCCGCCAATTTCCAAATTCAACATGGGTGACCCATGCTGGGACTGGTGCTGATTCATATGCAAGCCATTGGTGAGAGGAGAGTTTGACTAAAATAACAAATAATATATATTAACTCAAAATTTCGCATAAATTGTATAGAGAAAAAGAAACATTTTATAATCATCTTATATATTGTTTAATAAAATATATTTAAAAAAAAAAATTAAAATTTTTCTAATTTTTTTTAATAAATTTTTTTTCAGGAAAAATAAAATGCAATTTTAAGATAAATGTAGGACGAGAGTGTTTTTAAATTGGTTGCTTTGTAAATTCGGCGTATATTGATTTCTTATCGGAACTCATGCAACATATGTTTCGGCGTATGACTCACCTCTTGCCGCTTCTGTTTCACTACGATTTAGTAACGGACAAATGTGAGAAAGCAAAACCATGCAAAACATTGCTCGGTCTAAATACTCGGAAGTGAATAGATAGCATTTTGAAGCTATCTACACGGTTGCAAAGCATTTCGCGAATTATTTGCATAAATGATTTATTTATTTTTTTTTTTTGGTTTATTTGCTAAAAAGTAGATAAACATGATTTACTTACAAATTGTGATTCGAGATTTTGTGCCGATTTCCGCTTGGGTCGTGTGAATGTTCTTGAGTTCAGCTTATACACTGTAAAGTCGGTGTAGGTATTTAGTGTTATCAGAGTTCATGGAACATATTGCCGTGCGTGGGATTTTCAATTAATCGAAAGACAAGACCGTGTGGACAGCGCAGTTGATGACGTTATATGTAATAAAATAAAGAAAAATAAATTATATAGATTTATGTTACATATTTGGATAATTTATAGCGTTCCACTTCTTTTTTGCTTTAATTAAAATTTTTTAATTTATAAAAAAAATATGTGGTATAATATAATTTATTTATGGAAAATTATATATGAGAAAAAACTGAATTGTAAATTCAAATTTTATTTTAATATAAGGAATTTTATATTAAATAGACCCATTATTAAATTTCAATATTATTATTATTTAATAAATAAGACATTTTAGTAATTTCCTATTTGCTCTAAATGCTTTGCCGGATTCTAGTTTAGAATTAAAGACAATCTTTTTTAAGTTAAAAAGATTTTTTTAGTTTGATCCTTTCTTTCGATTGATATTTTTTTATAACAATTTTGAGTCATATACATCCAATTATCTAAGATTATATTTTAAACGAAGCTTATGCAATCTATAGAGTTGTGACTTCCATAATAAGAAAAAAGAAATTTTAAAGTTGATAAATGTTTCATATTAAGTAAAAAGAATTCGCTTTTGTTTGTTGGCAAAGTAACTTTCTCATTTACAAGTTCTCCAAATATGGATAAACAGCATTTGAGCGCCACACAAATTTCCACATATTGACTTTACGTGTATGAAAAAGGCCTTACCTTGTTCCTGGTTCTGTTGCTGTTGTTGCAATTGCGTTGGTATGCAATTGTTATTTTTCCACTGTCGAAGTATATTGGAAACATCATCATGAGATTTATCATCAAGAAATCTACCATAAAACATAATTATTTATATTCTTAACCGTTTAAATTCTATATTTTGGCATTTTACATACATAAAGGAGTCGTCTTTGAGAACTTCGTCGATATCAAGTATATCCATTTCAAATGATGAACCCGTTTTGCTACTTTCCTGCAGCAGTGTTCTACATTTACTTAGCCAATAGACGCTAGCACATAAATTAATGTCTAGCAATATGAATTTAATAATTATTCAAATTCAATTTATGTTTTTGCCAAAAAAATAGTTAGAATTTTTTGGCCCAATATATATTTGAAAACGAATCTTATTTTGATATTTGGTTTTATGTAATTAATTTCTTATATTGCCTCCAATTCGTTTGTTTTTATTTTCTACATATATCACACATTATTCATCGTTTAAAAATAAAAATAAAAAAGCAACTTCCTCTATATATTTCTTAATCCATTTAACGCAATACGCGGATGAAAAGCAACTGAAAAATTTCTGCACAAAAGAAGAAAAGAATTATAATGCTGCCAGACTTTTATTTTTAAATATTAATTATATGAATACGACATGTTATGAGTAACATGTGTTGAATATAAAAATCAGCACATTCGTAGTGTTGAGGTATGTTTGCTCGTCACACTTAACTTATGAATATGAGTAAGCAATTTATACTTAAAAAACTTTTAGGCGTTTTACTAAAACAAAAGTACAAGAAAACACAAAAATCAATTTGTTTTTGTTCACAATTCACTTTTCAATATGATTTACTACCATATTTACCTACAGTTCAGACTTCAATTTACTAAAGTATATAATTAATGGTGTTAATATATTTTTTATACGGCTATAGGTCACTTTTTGTTAAAATTAAGATTCAATGTTTGTTTAATATTATTTAATTTATTCTTTATCCTTGAGAGTCATTATCAGGATAAGGATCTAACATAAATTAATATTAATGAAGTCTATATCTAAGCGTCATCCTCTTCATTTTGTTGTCTATATTGCACTATATCAAACAAGTGTTGAATATTAATTTTAACAAAAAGTGACCTATAAACGCCTTTTATGTTTTCAAGAACATCTGAAATAATACTTCGTCCTGAGGAAGAAGTCAAACAAACTTTGAAATGTTCCCGACATTTATATTGACTACTACATAATAATAAAAACAAAAATAAAAACTGATCTATAAGCTTTTATTTTCTATTCAAATCAGCCTCTTTTCACTAATTAAAAATAATTAAAAAAATGGACTCACAACTACTCTAAATATTAATTACATATATTTCATTAATAATGTATGTACACACATATATATATTTAAATTTTTTGTTGATAATTTAAAGATATTTTTAATGTTACTACGTTTATAAATTAATTTTTTAGATTTATTTTGACATATTTGATTTTGGAAAAAATAACTAAAGCTTATTTTGAAATATAATATACATATATAAGTTAATCTATAGTTGATTTTTAAATTTATTAAGTTGATTTTCATTAATAGATTTTTTTTCCAAGAAGTCAATTAGACTTCTTCCCATGAAGTCAGTTAATATAAAAGAAATATTCGAGAGAGAAGTAAGTACTACTCATATAGCCAGATAAATTTGCTATTCAACTATTTAAATAAACTACTTTTGAGATATTGAGATATTTCAACAGAAATTTTTTACAAATTAAACCGCGTGTATATATATAGAAAATACACATTTCAATAAATCCAGAAAGTCCAATTTCTATTTTTCTATTCTACTCTTATACTTCTTTACTTACTAATTAATATAAACTACTTATTAATAATAATAAATAATTTTAGCTAACTACAAATAATAATGAGCATTTATTTGATTTAATTTTAAAAACGAGTTTCTTGATTATTATATCTAAAGAATATATCGGTTGGATAAGTTTGAAAAATATATAACTTTTTAAACATTTTTTATTTCGATATTTTTTATCTCATGCAATAGTATTAGTTAGATCAAGAAAAAATATCTTTTTATATGGCATATACTCTAACATAATCAATTTTCATAGAACCGTTATCCTTCCAGGAGGGGATCCATTCGTCTCGTTTGTTCCAAAAATGATAATTTGCTCTGGAATCTTCCCGACCCCAAATTAACTCTTCAGATTTTCTGTATTCTTCCCAGCCACCGGCAGATAGTCCAATTGAAATGTAGACCTTAAAAATGAATGATCAAAAATTCAACATTATTAAGAGAATTTAATTTAATTTCAAACTAAAAACTAATTTCAAATTGTGAAAAATTTTCTAGTATTTGATTGAACGTTTTTAATTATATAGAACAATGATCAACTAAAATAAACCATAGTGATTGCATTTGTATTTGGATCAATTATCTTATCAGCTCGAAGATTAACATGAAAGATCGGTGATTTTAGTCGTTCCTACGAATAAGTTAATTGAAAGAACAAAAATAAATGACTTTAATATTATCATATTATAGGTAAATGATCACATAAAAAGTAAATATATAGAGCAATAAGATCTTCAGTCATGACAAAGGACTGTTTGAAGAGATAAACTAATGTTTCACAAAAAGGACACAAATCATTATTGTCCCACAATATCCAGATTAGTTTGGTATGTGTCGTGTACATTAGCAATTTTTTTTCAATATTCTTTTCTGATTAAGAGCCAGTTAACTTATTCATCTTATTTTATCTTCTAAGTATGTATCTTCTAATCTTTATATATCTTCTAAGTATCTGTGTCAGTCTTTATTTCCTTGTATTTCCAAACAACCACGTTTTGCGGAAATAGATTTCAATTTAATTTTTTTGTTTATAAGTTTTCTATTTTAATGTAAATGCTGTGAGGATGGTTTTCTATTCATTCATAACCATTTCTCCAGGTCTTTTAAATTGAAACTTAAGTAAGTAAAAGTGGCTTGAGGGTCGCTTGTATTACAAAGATTAAGAATATCATCTTCTTATATTAGGTACAGAAATTGGTCCAAGTATTCTGCCTTATGGAATACCAGCGTTAGTTTCTTATTTTTCGATACAAAATGCTTTCTCTTTATGTGGAAAATTCTACATCAGTACAGTAGTACATCGTGTCATATTTTATTGAACGTCTGTACCATATCCACAAAAACGGGCATGTCAGTGTCTCCAAGAGGCACTGATATCTTCAAAAGAGATCGTAGTTTTGAAGTTCGATTGCTCAAATTGCTTGTTTATATTTTAGTCAGTTAACAAATTTCCGCGTTTCGTTTTAAAGAGTTGACATCTGAATTTCTTATACACTTCTCTTTGAATTAAATCTGTTAATGTTCGTAAGTACGTAAGTTAGAGAGCTCTTCGAAATTAATTCGAAACCATTATAAGTTGCCAAATTGATTTGTTTTTCTTTTGATTTTGTTAGCCTTAAACGCTAAAAGGCATGCTTCGCATTACCTATATCTCCGACAGCTAGTAATTTACTTCTAAGTATTTCGATAAAAAAAATAAGAATTTTCTGAGCAGATGGTTAATCTCAGTTCACATTAGGCCATGGCTGGTGGAAGCTTTTGTTTCTAACATCAAGATTTAAGAAGCTGTAATTATCGAGCTTATTATTATTTATTATTGACATGTTCAAAAGTGTTAATTCAAGAACTTAGTCTAATCACAAAAGATTTCCAATTGTTTCTATTACGCGCTATAGCTCTTAGTTCACTGAGAGATTTACCTGACTCTTCGTTGATTGTCCTTATCCACTTATCCATGTAGTCTTTAGTTGATCGTGATTTCCTTAACCTTGTGGATTAGATTCTAGAGCAGCAAGTATGATTTCGCTGATGGTTTTGTTCTGTTATAGCCCACAGTCGGGCGTTGCAGATCGTTTTAGTCTATCAAAGTCTTAAAATTTGTCTCAAGTGTTTATTGATGAAGATTTGTAGATATCGAGCTTATGTTGGTTTAAAATATAGACAATAGTATATACAATTCATTTTTTGCTCAAAACTTGTAACATATTAATTAAAGTTGGAAAGTTAGCATACGATGAATATTCCGTATGAATTCTTCGTGGATTTCGTAAACGCTATGAAGTGCTTCTATATTACTTATTGGACGATTTGGACAAGTAACTTCATAATATTTGGAAAACCTGACCGGCTCAGCATAAGATGTTCCAAGGTTTTATTGAGTAACTTTTGAAGCTGAATTTAATGTACTCAACGTCTGTCTGTTATACATTCTTTTCATTACTGATTGGTCCACTGTAATCTCAAAGTATATTGGACATCATATGATGTTTAGTATCAGTTTTATTTTTATAACAGGATTAGCTCCTGGAATTTTTTTCACAGCAGTTGTATTGCAAACAAAGGAGTTGCAAAGCAGAAAAATCACTTTTTTACCTTTCATTTGGCTTTTTTAATTTTTATAATCAATTATATATACTTCAATTGCGCGATCCCTAAACTTTTACAACCCTTTATTTACACTTTTTAGTAAAAAAATAATAAATCTTTGAACTTACCTCGCCAGTGAAATACTCTAGTCCTTCATT